ATTTTTGCTAATTACAGTACTTTTTTTTTTTTTTTTTGAGACAGAGTCTCACTATGTCACTCTCGGTAGAGCGCTATGGCATCACAGCTCACAGCAACCTCAAACTCTTGGGCTTAAGGAATTCTCTTCCCTCAGCCTCTCAGGTAGCTGGGACTACAGGCGCCCACCACAACACCCGGCTATTTTTTGGTTGTAATTGCCATCGTTGTCTGGCAGGCCCAGGCTGAGTTATAACCTGCCAGCCCTGGTGTATGTGGCTGGTGCCCTAGCCACCAAGCTACAGGCGCCAAGCCAAATTACAGTACTTTTTAATATAAATGAATAGAGAGGCCAGGCATAGCAACTCACACCTATAATCCCATCACTTTGAGAGGTCAGGATGGGAGGACTGCTTAAGCCTAGCAAGACCAGCCTGGGAAACATAGTGAGACTCCAACTATACAAAAAAATCTAAAGATGAGCAGGGTGTGGTGGCTCACACCTGTACTCCCAGTGACTCAGGAGGCTGAGGTGGGAGGATTACTTGAGCCCTAGCAATCAAAGCTGCGGTGAGCTATAACTGTGCCACTGTACTCCAGCCTGGGCAACAGAGAAAGAAAAGAAAGAAAGAGAGAGTGTAAAAAATGTTGAGTAGCTAGGAAAAATATCTGATAATTGCTCCTTAATTTTCCTAGAGAAAATTAGCAGTGAAGGTTTGCTGGTACTTTTAAAGAAACAGAATGTATGTGTGTGTGTGTGCACATAATATATGTTTATTTGCACACTATGTATACACATACACCACATCAGACTACTTGACAGTAACTTTTTACCTCCAAAGTTTCCCCAAAACCAACCAACCTCACAAATATTTCCTTTACCACGTAAGTAATGATACTCCTCTCCTCATAATTCCAAGTATAAATTAAAGAGAAATGTTCATACTGTAAATAATATTTTTTGCATATATGTAGGCTTAATGTTTATGTAAGTCATACCAGGTTTATCCCCTTCTAGTATTTGCTTTATGATGTGCAGGTGCATTTTCTTTTCTTTTTATTTATTTATTTATTTTGAGACAGAGTCTCAAGCTGTCACCCTGGGTAGAGTGCCAGGGCATCACAGCTCACAGCAACCTCCAACCTTTGGACTTAAGTGATTCTCTTGCCTCAGCCTCCCAAGTAGCTGGGACTACAGGTGCCCACCACAACGCCTGGCTATTTTTTTGGTTGCAGTTGTCATTGTTGCTTAGCAGACCAGGGCCGGGTTCGAACCCACCACCCTAGGTGTACGTGGCCAACGCCCTTGCTGACTGAGCTATGGGAGTCACCTGCAGGTGCATTTTAATTATCCCTTATCAATCACTAATTTGAGTGAGAGGGCAATATAGTATTTTGTGAAGAACACAGAGACCTCAGCAAGTTCCCAAATTGAACCCTAGCTCTTTCACTTCTTTAACTTCTCATTTCAGTTTCTCATCTGTGAAATGAAAATAACAGTATATACACCTCATAGGGTATTTAAACTGATTAAACCAATGTATAACAGGATTGACAAAGAACAGGTACTATACATGGTAGAAGTATGAGCTCTTACTTCTAGCACAGTTCACGCTTCAACAATACGGGTTTGAATTAAGCAGGTCCAGGATACACAGACTTTTTTTTTCAACCAATACAGTATTTATGGGACGCAAAACTCACTTATACTTTTCCTACATTTAGGAGCCTGTAAAACCAATACCCTGTGTATACAGAGGAATGACTACAGTTGTAATTAGATACACACACACACACACACACGTACATGTTCTTTTGAGACAGCGTTTTCACTTCTGTCTCCCTCAGTAGAGTACTGTAACATCACAGCTCACAGCAACCTCAAACTCTTGGGCTTAAGCAATTCTCTTGCCTTAGCCTCCCAAGTAGCTGGGACTACAGGCACCCACCACAATGTCCAGCCATTTTTCTGTTGTTGCAGCTGTCATTGTTTTAGCAGGCCCAGGCCGGGTTCAAATCCACCAGCCCAGTGGGTATGTGGCTGGTGCCCTACCCACTGAACTATGGGTACCACCCCATCAACTAAAATCTTAAAGGAACATGGAACACAAAAATAAATTTGTTACAGCAGAAGGACTGTGAGTGGATAATTTTGTTAACATTACTTGTTTTAAATGGAAATTAAATTGTATACTGAGAAACCTAGTCTCTTTCCCCTCTAATTAAAATCATCAGTAACATTCTATTGCATTGATTTCCATTTTACTTGTATATAAAAATCTATCCACTAAACAACCAATACTTTTTTTTTGAGACATAGTCTCACTATGTCACCCTTGGTAGAGTGCTGTCACAGCTTACCACAACCTCAAACTCTTGGGCTTAAGCGATTCTCTTGCCTCAGCCTCCTGATTAGCTGGGACTACAGGTGCCCACCACAATGTCCAGCTATTTTTTTTTTTTGTATTGTTGTTGTTTGTTAGCAGGCCAGGGCCAGATTCGAACCCACCATCCCTGGTGCATGTGGCCAGTGCCCTAACCACTGAACTACGAGCACCAAGACTACATATATTTTTTTGAGACAAGGTCTTGCTCTGCTGTCCAGGCATGATCGTGCAGTGGCATGATCACAACAACTCACTGCAACCTCATACTTTTGGGCTAAGGTGATCCTCCTGTCTCAACCTCCCAAATAGCTGGGACTACAAGTGTACACCACCACACCGGCTAATTTTTCTTTTCTTTTCTTTTTTTTTTTTTTTGTAGAGACAAGATCTCACTATGTTGCTCAATCTGGTCTCAAATTCCTGGGCTCAAATAATCCCCCCTCCAAACATGCTGGAATTACACAAGTCAGCTACCTACCCAGCCAGTAGTAATATTAATAGTACTGTTGCATCTTCCCAAACATACCACAAACATTCTTAGCAATCTTAATTATTACCTAAAATTGGATACTGCCTGTATTAAAAACAGACACCAAATATAAAGCCTGATTAATAATAAGTTTAAAGCTCTGCAACTCTGAAGAGAATAGATGATTAATAAACCTACATGATAATTCTATCAAGAACAGTTCCACAAGTGCAACTATCAATTTCTTCCCTTACACAAGGGGGCAGTGATAACAAGAAAAGAATGGGGCTCTGCAACACCTCTTCCTACAGACAGTAGGGGGTGGCAGTACATATGGCTTACAGTAGGAACAAAACAGGAAGACCCAACAGAATTGCTCTTTATTCTCCTCTGTCCCTCTTCTCTTTTTTAGCCCCAGTAGAGACTCAAGGTGAGGGACATATCTACGGAAAACACTAAAAACCCAAAATCAATTGCCAAGGAAAATCCAGTTTTGTCTTTGACACAAATGATTCCTCAACGACTGAATTTTGGATCCAGGGAAAAGCCAGTTATGTATTTTCAAATTATCTGGCAAATTACTATAACAACATTCAGAGAAGTAATTCCTTGTCACAAAAATTGTGACATAAAACACTAAAATCTCATCAATAATTAAATATATCCTAATGAACACATCCAGATATTTCTGCTTTTGTTTCATAGAATATTGACACACATTGTATGTACATATACAAGTTATATCAAAGGGCTCATTGAGGTGTCTTTTGTTACTTCTGAAATTCTAGCTACCTTTGACAATATCTCAAAACACAGATGTTCTTCTTAAATGGAAGTAACAATGTTTTTGCAGCATGTAATTTCATATATATGTATATATAGATCTATATATAGATACAGATATACATGGAGGGAGGAGGAAGAGAAGGAGAAAGCAAGGGAATATTTAATGTTTTTATTTTAGCGCTCACATTCCTAAGATGATCTACCTGGGAATTGCTGCAGGAGGCATTCCACTGACAGTATCCATGTTGTTGCTTTTTATGCCAATTTACTGTATTCAATTTTTCCTTATTTCACCATCCGCAAACCAAGAGCATACAAGAATATTTCACTACTGCCATTCTCTGTAATTAACCATTGCGATAGCTCTTGGCTCCAGCCCCTCAAAATGCCTGAAAATTTATCCCTTTTGTTCACCATATTGTTTTGTTTTCCTCACTCCAGATATTTTCACCTGGGTAAAAATCAACAAAGGGTCACATACAAAAAATATTTGCCTTTGCCTAATGATCTTGGAATTCACAATTATGGTCAAGATTCTTTTTTCTTTTATTTTCCTGGAGAGAAGCGGAGAAGAGAGTGAAAGACACCCGAAACACCAAATCTTCTTCCCAATGTTAATTATCTTTGTTTATGTTTTCTGAAAACATTTCAAACATTCCACACCTGGAATGGAAGACAGGACACAATTTTATCAGTGCTCTCCCCACTGACAGCAAAATCTGAAATGATTTTAGCCCTATTTTTTCTTTCCCATCTCACAACCAGACATAATTTGCTTTTTTCTTTCACGTGGTTACTTTCTCTGTCACACACACACACAAAAAAAATCCAGCTTATCACAGCTCTTCTCGATTTCTTGCGGTAAAATATCTAGCAAGGAGCCTCATTAATCTTTTATTATACTACACCTCCTTTCCCTGAGGATTTATTACTATCACTAATACCACTTCTACCATGAATTCCAACGCCACACAGGCCAGCCCATCCTGTGCCTTACCTGACACATTTCACAACTACTTTTATGCTGCATTCTGGGGGCACATTTGCAACTCGTTCTGCACCACATTCACTGCCACTTTCAGCAATGCCACTTTCACTCGCATCTTATCCTGGATCCTCGTCATCCGGAGACTGTCTAGGTACCAAATTACACGACACCTTCGGTGACAGCCAAGTGGCGACTCCAGACCCATATGAAGCCAGGCTTCGAGCCACATTCGGAGCCAGCCTTCCCAACGCCTTTGACACGGGCTGCACTTCGCTGCCCATTTCGCTGCCTCCCCGCTCGCCCCCGCCCCTCTCCCTGGAGCCGAGGCGTCGGAGGCAAACGCCCCTGTCACTGAAGCGACCTTTCCTCTTCCAGCGCCCCCGGTCTCTTACCTGCTGCTCTGACGGGCTCGCTGCACCTCGGGGTCAATCGCCAGTCCCCGGGGTCTCCTGTGAGGACCGCGCCGCCCGCCGGCGCCGCCCGCGATACCCAGAGCGCCTTGCTGCCCTCGGACGCCCGGCGGTGGGTCTGCGCCCGGGTAAGGCACGGCGGGGCCTCGCAGCCGGCGAGCGCAGCCCGCGGCAG